GCTCAACCTGATCTAGATGCTTCTGACAAAAAAGTATGTCAAGTTATAACTGCCAACCAGGTCAAAAGCTGGCCCTTAAAAGGGAAACTGGTTGCCAGTAAACTAAGTGTGAAGTATGCTATGTTGCATAAGATTGGAGCTGCCAACTGGGTGCCCACAAACCACAAATCCACTGTTGCTACTGTTCTAGGGAAGTTCATTTATGTTGTTGGAACCAAGACAAATTTTGATTATGGGACCTACATCTTTGATCAAATAATGAAGCATGCAGGAAGTTACAGTGTGAAAGGCCCCATTGCTTTTCCATCTCTTATCTGTGGGATCATATTGAATCAGTATCCTAATATCCTAAAAGACAATGACTATATGTGCAAGAGAGAATGTCTCTTGTCTTTTCACCATAAGCTGTTTCAAGGAACTCATGTTCCTGACATTGTCATGACTTCTACTGAGACATCCAAGGGGAGCTCAAAAACAGGGAAAGCTGAAGTCATTGCTATGCTCAAGGAGACATGCAAAGAGCTGGAGACACGCAAGCTGGATCTAGAAAAGTTGATTAGCTCTCTTGAGAAGGATGAAGATGCTGAGCTTGCTGACAATGATGAGGATAAGTAGAATGATGGTTCTGGGGAAGGTGATGACCATGAAGCTGAGTCAGAAGAAGCAATTGTCAGTTCTGATGATGAAAGGGATAGTGATGATGCTGGCTCTGAGTCTGATGACTAGAGTTCTTAGTTTTGTTTTCCACACAGGGGGAGGCAGTATGTAACCCTAGAACAAATATTTTGTGAACAACTATTGTATGTTGATGTGTTGTAATATTCCTTTAACATGTGTGTCTGACCTTATTTGATCAATGCTAATTCATTAGTTATGATCTAAATTTGTGGCTAAAAAAAGGGTAGAAGTAGTAGAAACAGCAAGTTTAGTTGTATGTGCCTCACAGGTGGAAGATGATATGCTGATGCTCTGAGTTGATTTGCAGGTGTGCTGATGTGAGCAGGATAATGATCCTGTTTGTTTGGTTATTGCTGATACTGTTAAGTGTGTGTGTGTTCCTTGATGGAACTTAGTAGTAGCCTAGTTGGTTCTTGTGCTTGGATATTGTGTATTTCTGCAGGTTGCTGGTAGGTTGTGTTTGGCTGATGTGCCATGGTTTGTTATGGCACATTTGAGGGGGAGAATCACAGGATGTTCCACTAAACGTTGTGACATTTGTAGTCTGAACTAGCAGGTGGTATTTTATGTTGTGGAACAGGTGTTTTTCAAGATGTCAACCTAGATGTCTTGACATTCATAATCCAAAACAGTTTGTATGATTGCGTGTGATGGTAGTACAACAGGTCTAGTTGAGTGGTAGGATATTAGCTATTCTGCATGATTGGCTGTGTGTTAGTTGTTCTGCTGCATGTGTTCTCTGATATGGTGACACATTGTTTTAGCCAAAAATTTGCCAAAGGGGGGTTTGTAGATGTTTTGATTGGCTATATTTTATGGTAAAATATTGTTGTGTGTGTAGATGTCTTGAGTGATGTCATGACATACTTGTGTAGTGTACTGCAGGGTAAGTTTGGTTAGCTAGAACAAAGTGTATTGGATGTCATGCTGAATGTTATGACATCAGGTAGCTGCCAGCAAGGGCGCGTGTTTGTTTTGTGCATGAGTTAGCTCAGACTAGATTTCAAGAAACCTGTTAGGGTTCCTTAGTTATCTCAGGCGAGACTCTAGGAAGTGTTGAGCATAACATGAAACACTTATGACCTATTTGATGGCACCTTGAATTATGGAAAGTGGTTTAACTTGGTTAAACCTAATTTATGTTCCTTAGGCCCAAGGTCCATGCGCTGCATATAAATAGAGGAGTGGAAATCCTAACTGGAAAAAAAGAAGAGAGATTTTGAGTGAAGAATTTTGTCTGTGTAATTTGATCTTCACATGTGTTTTTTTGTCTTAGGATTACTTGTGAGTCAAGCAATCATTACCTAGATGATTGTATTGGACTAGTGTGATTTTGAGTTGTATGTTGATTGTGTCACTCTAAGCTTTTAAGCACGAGTGATATGTCTCTTGATTGAAGCTGTGAAGCAAGATCAAGATTTATTTGAAGTGTGTCTTCTTTTTAAATCTATTTGTTATTGGATTGATATCACTGTATGATTGAGGGGGAGTGAGTAGGAACTCAGGTCTAGAGTTAGATTGAAATTGCATTGGGTAGGTCTTAAGTGAAGAGTGCAAACGGGTAGTTTGGCTCTGAATTAACACTGCTTATAGTGGATTTCCTCCATGGCTTGGTAGCCCTCAGAGTAGGTGTGATTTGCACCGAACTGGGTAAACAATTCCCTGTGTTATTTACTGCTTTCATTTTCTGTTTACTGTTAAGTTTAATAGTCTGTTCAGAAGCGGATGTCATAACATCCGTTATAACATCGATTGTCTGTCACTAGAATTTTATGTTCCAACTCATTCTTGCTTTTGATGATTTGTTTATGAACAAAGGAGTCCGAACTAGAGATCAATGAGCAATCAACCATATCTTCTTTTAGGTACTTCAATGCATTAAGAACATTAAATACTGCTTGTTGCCCATTCACTCTCATATTAGGTTCTCCTTTTTCAACATTTATTAAATTTCTTCTAGTAGAAAGAAATGGTCATCTCAAAAGGATTAAAGTGTCTTGATCAACACTAAAGTCCATGATTATGAAGTCATCAGAGAAGACAAACTCGTAAACCCTGACTAGCACATCTTCAATCTTTCCTTGTGGGTAGAAAATGGTTCCATCAGTCAACTGAAGTGTTATGGTTGTTGGCCTTGCAACTCCTATGCCCAATTTCTTGAAAATGGATAATGGAATTAGGTTAATACTTGCTCCAAGATCACACAATAATCTTCCACAAAAAGAATATTTATGTTGCATGGTGTGGTGAAGCTTCTAGGATCTTTCAACTTAGGTGGTAACATGCCATGAAAAAATTGGCTAATTCTTGAGTTAATGCTACAGTGGAAAATTATCCAACTCTTTTTCTTTTGTTCAACGTATCATTCATGAACTTATAATAGTTTGGCATTTTTTGAATAACTTCAATCAAAGGTATATTGATGTGCAATTGTTTCAAGATATCCATGAATTCCACATTGTTTCTCTTCCTTTGCCTTTCTAATTCTTTGAGGAAAAGGCGTCAGCAATCTCTCTTGCACAAATTTAGGTGTTGTGCTGACTTCTGACGCATCAGTTGTGATTTCTGCACTTGAAGTTGTCGTGCCAGAAGTTTCCAGATTAGTCTGCTTAACTTGCAGTCTCTCTTGTCTTTCCTCAACCAAAGGAGTTACTGTAGGTGTTAATAGATCTTCTGTTGCATCAAATGATGTCAAATTCCTCATTGGTTTGTTAATGTTTTGTTGGGTTGGTCTTTTATACTCCTTGCCACTTCTTTATGAGACAACCTTGTAGGTTTCAATGCTCTTGGTTCCATATGTGGATGTTGGTGTCTTAGTAGAGCTTGGTAATGCCCCCATAGGCCTTGAACTGAGTGCATAAGAAGTTTTCCAAGTTTTTTATTCTTATAACTTGAATTTGAAAATGGTTCTTTGTTTCTTGTATAAAGGACTTCAAATATTCTCCAGTTGATTATTATCTTGAGTAGCCACAACATGAATTAGTGCAAAAAAAAAGGGGGAATTAATGGTGTTTAATGATTAAGTTGATTTTGGATGTTACTCTATGAGAAATTAGGATGGTTACGCTATCATGGGTTGTAAGTGTTGTTGTAGGGGTTGTTATGTTTTTGTTGCCCACATAGTTCATAAAAACAGGGTTAGCTAAATATTCTTTAAATGAACGAGCTCCCCATAATAAACACATCCAATAATATTGGCATCAATTACCACTTTGACTGACTTAGAAGTTGGCGTATCAGAACTTATCATCATGTTCTTCATCATTTGGTCTATTTGAGCCACTTGAGCAACTAAGGTTGTGATTTCATTGACCTCACGGACACCGACTGACTTCTTGGAACAACTATAGTGGCTGCTATAATAGCTGGTCATTGATAGGTATTGACAGTGATGCTTTTAATCAATTTGTAACCCTTTTCAAAATACTCAGATAGTAAAGCTCCACTAGAGGAGACATCCAACATATTTCTTGAGGATGATACCAATCCATTGCAGAATGTTTCCAAGTGAATGCAAATTAGTTTCTCATAGTGAGGACATTGCCTTAAAAATTCCTTGAATCTTTCCCAAACATCAAAAAAAGACTCATCGTCTCCTTGCCTAAATGAAGTAATCTCATTCATTTTCTTGATATTCTTGACAAAAGGAAAATACTTAGCTAAAATAAATCAGCCAAGGCTTTCCATGAGGCTATAGAATTATGTTCTAAGGACTTCAACCAACTTTTGGCTATATCCCTTAGAGAATATGGAAACAACATGAGTCTGAAAGTGTCATCAGTAATTCCATATATTTTGAAGTTGCTAGCTGCATCCAAAAATTGTCTCAAGCGCAAGTGTGAATCTTCAGTGGTAGCTCATAAATATTGGCCTATTGCTTACAACATTTGAAACACTGTAAACTTGATTTTAAATTGTGCCACTGTAATCTCTGGTCTTATAATTCATGTATTCATGGCATTTGGATAAAACAAATTGTTTCATAATGTTGATCAATATTTTCTTTGCTCTGCTACTACTTAAAAAGTCTATCTGAAGCAATTGTCCTCGTTATTTCATTGTCATCCAGGTTATATAATTGCTTTTATATATTGTTTAATATGTTATCATTTTCATTTAAAATCATGTATGTCTTTAGAATGAGTATGTATGAGTAGCACATTTAAGATTTAAAACACCAGGATTGTAACATTCTAATTAAAAATCTAATTTTTACACTTTTTTTTTCAACAATTGTAACATTCTTTTTCTTAACGTCTTCACCAAAGAAAAAGAGTAATAAAAAACAATAACCAATAGAGATTGATATTCTCAGATAGAACATGAAAGGGGTGCTTACGCTTCACCTATGGAATCCACCACCGCGCTTCCACACTCTCTCTCTTCCATCTCACTCCTTCCCCCTCCCTCTCTCAATCTCCGCCTGTTCTTCCGACACCCAACAACAACAAGACCTCCTCACTGCCAAAGAGAAAAGGCGCTTAAGAAACGAGCGAAGAGAGAGCAAGAACACAACCAATTGGAGAGAAGAGCTAGAAGAAAGTTTCATTAAGAAGACTAAGAAGGAGAAAAAGTCATGGATGGATGAACTCAACCTTGATAATCTCATGAAATTGGGTCCTCAATGGTGGGTTTTACGCGTTTCGCGTGTTGGGGGTCAGTATACTGCGGAAGCGCTCGCTCGTTCGTTGGCCAAGTTTTTCCCTGATACAGATATTAAGGTTGGTGTTTTTATTTATTTATTTATTTTTTTAATGTTTTGGAAATGTTTTTGAATTCTTTGTTTTGTTATGGATAAGGATAGAAATGGGTTTGGTTTCTGGTTTGTTTTTTTGTTATGTTTTGTGTGTGTAGTCTATGTGTTTGTTTGAATGAGGCTTTGAATATATGTGTGGATAAGGGTTTTGGATTGAGATTAAGTTGAGTGTGAATCATTTAAGAAGACTAAGTTGAGTGCGAATCATTTATTTAGTCCAATAGGCCTTGATCAATTTGAATCCTAAGTCTATGTTTGGATTGATGTAATAGAACGGAGTGGAGAGGAATGTAACATAATGGAAAGGAGCGAAATGGAATATAGATCTCACTTCATTTTTTGGTTATTTTATTAATAATACATCGTTCCACTACATACACCCCAAGTCGGATGGAACAAAAAATGGAGGATTGGATGGAGTGAGATAGAAGTGTTGTCCATGGCGGAGAGCTAAAATCCTGTCATACTGTATGCTTTGTGGCACCGTTATAGCGGATTATGGCCTAAAAGCTTGCAATATCGACCAATATTTATCATTGTGGGAGTCCAGAAACCGTCATGTATATCCGCCATAGTACTGCAATTGTGGATATATGTAACATGGATGGAATGGATTTCATCATGTATCATTTCACTCCGTCCATTATTTGCAAATCCAAACAATGGAATTCTATTATTTACCACTCCATTCCATTTCATTCCAACTCATACCACCAATCCAAATAGATAAAGTTGGTGAAATTTCAATATGATCGTTGAAGTTGAAAATCATTTTGGGTTGGTCAATTGAGTGATGGAAATAGTTTGTGAACTAATGTGATTGAAAATTTTCAATTGTAAGAATCATTTTGATTTTGTCAACTTGAGAAACGAAATTGTTCAACCAATAATTCCAGTGATTGAATAGTGATTCGCTCACTTAGTTTATGATAATCTATAACTTGCGTACTTTCATTCCAAATGCCTATTAAGTTGCAAGTGATTAAGTGCAAGTGATTAATGCACTTCAACTAAGGTCGAATCATTCGGGTAGTATCTAAGTTTGATATCTGCTTAAACAATCTTTGGCCAAGCCTTTCTAATTCTGACCAAACTTCAAATTCGTCATGTTTTGGTTTCCCTAGATATTGTAGTGTTAGAGACCAAAATATATTACAGAAGTTTATTTGCTAAAAACATTTTATCCTTTCTTTTGCTTAAAACTCTCCATCCAAACATATTGTTTGGGGCTTGTAGCTACAATCCTACCTGCTGAGGGGATAAGAAAGCAAAGTAAGCTGATGAACAAATAAGAAATGATGTTTGTTTGGTAATGTTTGATCTGTGGTAGTGTTTGGTTTTAGGTATATGCTCCAGCTATCCATGAAAAAAGGAAATTGAAGGATGGTTCCATCTCCGTAAAACCAAAGCCTCTTTTTGTGGGTTGTATTTTTCTGAGATGTGTATTGAACAAAGAATTGCATGACTTCATAAAGGAGTATCCTGGTGTTGGTGGCTTTATTGGAACCACGGTTGGAAATACGTAAGCATCTTCTGCTAGTCTTTAATGCGTTGCAAATTTTTTCGCAGTTAAACTTATGTTTTATGACGTGGTTATAGCAAAAAAGTTATATCATATACCATGTTCATCGAGTCCTCAAATTACCCTGAATTGCATAGTTTTATACTTTGGCAACATATTTGGAGTTGTGTGTCTAGGAGGCTATGAATGAAAGACGCAGACACAAATGTGACACCAGCATGTTGACACTAACAATAGTGTGAAATTTTTTAAAAATTGAATGTTACACGTGTTAGTTTCGTGTCAATATCCGAGTCTAACACGTATCAGACACCATACACATCTTTAATATGAAGCGTCGGTGCTGCATAGGTAAGATGTCATAAGTTTGTCTCTTCAATTCTTCTCGCAAATGCAGCATAAAGCTGCATGCTATTTGCTATTACGTTAGTCTCTAAATATAGGATTTTTTTACTAAATCACGCTAGTTAAGAAAGATGGAAGTAAAATATAGTTTGTCCACAATTTGTATTGTTTTACTTTTACAGGTTTACCTTTCAGAAGAGGTTAATAGTTTATGTTTCCATTGTAGAATACATTAGAGGTTGCAGAAAAAGATGTAACATAATTAGAGGCGTGTTGGTAAAGAAATAATCAATGCAGTTGTAAATTAGTGACACAAAAAGAGACAATGAAAAATCTTGAGAAGATCCTATATTTAGGGAAGAAGAATCTTTTTTTTTTAAGACTTTATAATTGAAGGTGATTTTTAGGCTTTCATGTACTTGTATGCAGTTTAGTGAAGATCGAGTGTTGGATTGTAAGATCGTATGATCTTATATGCCAAGGATGCCTGAGAGTGCTACGATCAGAAAATATTGTTTTCATCGCCAGTTTGGTCAAGATTGAGCTTTTTGAAGCAAGATCGTAAAAAAACGTGACGGGCCTTATTTTGGGCCTGAATTATAATTTTCAATGTTTTTGTCTATGTGTGTGTATAAATATATATGAAATTACCATTTTTCCCTGTGGTAGGATCTTATGTGCCTTGCTAACTATCTGAATTTTACGATCTTTCACAAATTGACTGATCCTACTTAAGATCTCGTGCTTGACTATACTGCTTGTAACTAACAAGTTGTACTATGTTGAAGCTTCCATTTGTTTTATCATTTCCAGAAAGAAAACGATTAAGAAACCAAAGCCAGTATCTGAGGATGATATGGAAGCAATCTACAAACAGGCAAAAGTGGAGCAAGAAAATGCTGACAAAGCATTTGAGGAAGAACAAAAAAAAACTGCTGTAATCTCTGCGAATCCGAATTCAGATATAGACTCAGATGTTTCAAAAGCTATTGTTGATTCTAAGCCCAAAAGAGGATCTAGAAAAACCTCTAACAAACTCGCAGTCACAGAAGTCACAGAAGAAGCTTCATCTGTTAAAAAAAACGTTAAACTTACCAAAGGTTCCACAGTTCAAATTATATCCGGATCGTTTTCAGGTTTTGCAGGCACCCTCAAGAAGCTGAACCGCAAAACCAAAATTGTGAGCTTCAACCTTCACTAGATTATCCGTCCTTCTAGTTCTCTATATTAACCCATTTAACCTTGTTCATGCAGGCGACGGTGCATTTAGCCATATTCGGGAAAGAAAACATAGTTGACTTAGATGTTAGTGAAATCGCTCCAGAGACTAACTAATGCCTGTAGGTTCTCTCCTCTCCTTTGATAGTATGCTTCATATGAAAATAAAACTTTCAAGAGCCACGCATGAGCCTCTTTGCGCTCTTTAAGATTTTTCCACTTGTCGAAAAGGTCGTTTTTTAAAAGAAAACTCAATGCATTGTTACCTAGTGCATACTTGTATATTTTGAGATCTGTACTAGTGCTTGATTCCCAAATTGAAATCTGAGATGTCTATATAGTGAGCCTAAAATTTGAAGGGGGTTTGTTGCATTATGCTTTGTTAATTTACATTTTATGACAGAATTCTCCACTGAAGGTTTTAAAAAATAGTTAAGGTTATTTTTTGTCTCTGCAATAGTATCAAATTTTCAGAATACCAATTATTGAAAATAAAAGAGACTGCAGGTTTTGTAGCATGTTTATAAAAGGATTAGGGTAATATGATTAGTTTTATTATTCATTGTGTACTAGCTACATAATTTTTTTTTTCCAATTAGTCCAAGGACTGAAATTCATCTTTTAAAGGTGAATAAATAGGATATTAGGGGTTTGAATCCTCACCTCTATGCTTATGTCTCTGCATAGATATGGGACTGTAATTTCTTTTTTCTTAACATGAAAACGTGATTGTTCTAAGACTAGAAACAATTCCTATTAAATGACACATGGTAAAATTGCAATCAAATTTTCTTTTTTATGTAGACTGATACTACTAGATATTATGTAAATGTTTAACTGATTTTTCTTTTTGCTCTTAACTATGCATTGACCATATACGGCATGTAATAGAAAATACAGTATTGAAAGAGTGTTTTGTATTTGGCCAGATTTAAGTATATGAGGGTATTGAAAAAGAGAAATGTTATATTGACATCTTTTTAGGTGTCAAACACCATACCATTTTTGGTTTTTTGGTTTCTTTCGGATCGACATTTTATTTTTTTAAATTTATTAAATAATTAATATATTTGATTAAATTCATCGAATAATTAATATATTTGGTTTGTATTATAAATTAAATAGATTAGTTATTTAATAAATATAAAAAAATAAGTCTCTCTTATAAAAAAAGATCGATGAGTATTGGTTTTTTTTTTTAAGTATTTTCATATGGTGTTGAAATATAGTATGAATTTTAAATGTTCAAATAACACTAATAATTGAGAAATCATGTGCATTTTTTAGCCAATCCTCAATCTATTTCAGAACATAAAGTGTCTCCCATAATATAACATGTGTTTATATATATATACTGTTGAACCTCATATCTAAAAATTAAATACCATAATATTTCATTTAAAAAAAAAAATCATGTCCTTTGGGTAAGCGTAATACATGTTGATGAATTGATGAGCAGAAGACGAATTGGCGAGTATTTGAGTATTTTATTACTTTTTTGTTTTTTTAGATTCTTTTATTATATAAATAGTTTTATTTAATAATTTCAATTGTTAAAAAAATATTATTAATTTATTAATTATATATTAATTAAAAATAAATTTCTATTTAATATTAAAATTAAATGTAATAAAAATTATATTAAAAAATAAAATTTATTCAAACAAAATTAAATGTAATAAATATTTTTTATTATTTATTAAAAAATAAAATACATATCATCAAAAATGGCCGTTTGTTCCACACTTAGTGCTTCTTTTTAGTCGATATTCTCTGTTTAAACGTTCATTTGTATTTCTTGTAGGGGATGGAGATGAATCGAAAGACATTTTAAAAAAAAATTAAAAATTATTTAATAAAATATGTTTTTAATAATTAAAATTATTATTATAATTAAAATTATTATTATAATTAAATAAACAATATTATAATTTTAAAAAATAAAAAAAATAAAAAAATTAGATGATGCTCCTAACTCATTGAACGAGCATCTAAGTACATGAAAGTTATATATCTACTCACCAGCTCATTGGACGAGTACATACTGAAATTAGGATATCTGAATTTTTTTTTTAAAGTAGGATATTTTATTATATAATTTTCATCACTATAGTAAAAACAGTAAAAAAACTCACAATTTCCCTTGCACTCATCCACCAATTCTCCCAATCACATACCCAAATCCTTCTCCTACCTTTGCCCTTAACAAAATATATGTTGGCTCAAGGTATAAACTATATGGACACATTTTCCCCTAAAATGAATGCATTCAAATTATTACTAGCCCTTCCCTTCATGGCACTCTTGATGAGGAAGTATACATGCAACTTCCCCAAAAACGTGACCTTTATTTGATTTCAACACATTTTTTTAGGTTATTGTTTACATGAATTGTTAAATAAGAAAGTAATTATTACTTTAATATATAGAGACTTAGTTGTTAAACGTGTACACTAAGTCACTAGGTTGGCCATAAATATTATACAAACATGTAACATGCTAACCAATGTGACATGACAAGAAACCTATTTATTATGATTAACTTATACACGTATAAAACAACACTACGAATTGACTCAAAAACAGACACAAACAAACATTCTAATCAAATACAGTAAGTTTTTCTTTTTTATTTTGAAAATGCATATTTATCTTATGATATTCTCTAAAGTTTACAATAAATTATATATACTTACAATATATTGTCAAATGTTAATCATCTTATTTCCATACAAAATGTATTTAACATAATATATTATTATTTCGGCTATTAAGCCATTATTTTTATTTTTTATCAAAAAAAATATTTCATATGATTCATATTAATAATTATAATAATATATTAAAGTTTACAGACTTCGAATTTCAACATTAATATATGTTTTTTCTTTTATAAAATGGATGTGTCACTTATAATCTTAATATTTATATTAAAATTAAAATATTTTTCACCACAGTCTAACATAGTAACCGTTGTAAAATGTATTTAAATTTAATTATGATTGTTTTTATCAACCGTGGTAAAAAATATAACTTATATTTAAGCGAAAGTTTGCTCTTTCAAGACAGAACAATCGTCTATCTGTTAACAAAATCATAAGATTCTTGCACGTCTTATCGTTACTCCATGAACGATTTCATACCACTTTTTCACAAAACTCCAACATATCTTCTTCAACTCTTATGGATAACTGAAATGTGTTACACAAAACTCATTTCTTTCACTTCCTCTCCACATTTCAGGTACGTAGATGTTTTCACCTTTTATGTTATGAGTGATATTTTTGATGTTTTTGTTGGGATATGTTAATGTTTTTCTTGAGCTATGTTTTATGTTGTTGTTGATAAAAAATCTTGTGTTATTGATGATTTTATTTTTGTTGATAAAAGTTTTATATGTTTAAGGTAGGTTGTTGTTGATAAAAGTCTTATGCTGTTTATGATTTTGTTTTTGTTAAGCTATGTTGTATGTTGTTTAAAGTATGTTGTTGTTAATGATTTTATTTTTGTTGATAAAAGTTATATATTATTTAAGGTATGTTGTTGTTGATAAAAGTTCGATGTCGTTGATGATTTTGTTTTTGTCGGGTTATGTTGTATGTTGTTTAAAGTATATTGTTGTTGGTAAAAGTTTTATGTTGTCGGTGATTTTATTTTTGTTGATAAAAATTGTAGGTTGTTTAAGATATGTTGTTATTGATAAAAGTATTATGTTGAAGATTTTGTTTTTGTTAATAAATGTTGTATGTTTTTTAAGGTATGTTATTGTTGATAAAAAAATCTATATTGTTTATAATTTTATTTTTGTTGATAAAAGTTGAATGTTGTGTAAGGTAGATTGTTGTTTATTATATTGATAATGTTATTACTTGGACATTGTAGTTATCGTGTTGTTCGTTCAACATGTCTTAGAAATGAGTTTATTATATTGTATGTGGTTTGAGTGTTTTACAAATCTCTCATTTAATATATAACCTTTCGAATTGAATTAAAAATTAATAATATAAAAATCTATAATATAAAAAAATTCAATATTATGAAAAACTCACTTTTGTCATTTCCTATAAAATTGTCACTTCATTGATTGGGGAGTATTTTGTATCCAAATATTGCTTTTTTCCACCAATCTAACATTTCTAATGATATGGTTTCCAATCAATTCCATTTACTTCCACTTTTTTTTAATAATAACTCATATATGTATAATTTTTAGTTTGAAACGTTTAAGATCTTCAATTTTCAACCATTTTTGTTTCTCAATGCAATTTATGGACACCAATAAAATCTGTCCTAAAATATCTCTTTTCTACTTTTCTATCAACTCTTTCTTTTTTTCTCTTCTACTTCATCCTCTCATTCATTTTTTCTCTTTTGACACCATTCGCTCAATATTCATCCTTATCATTCTTTAACTTCTTTAAAATCAACTTAAGCATATACTCAAATTTTGAAAGTATTGTTTTCTAATCTCACACAAACGTGCATCCTTCTTTTTTCAAATTTTGGACAAAAAATTTGACTTCTCTCAAAATATAAAATCTTCCATGTATTTTGATTTTAATTTCTCTCATAATTCTTTTGCGGAGTTACTGCTCTGATAAATTTCGAACAATGAATCACACATATCGTTGAGGATGTGTCCTATTCATATATAATCAACATTGTTCCACTCCGGTCTCTCTCTAGTTTCAACAATTGTGTCATCTTCTTTTTCTCCCGGTTTTGGAATGTTAAGGACATGCACCACTTTCAATGTTGTGAGAAGGAATTTCAATTTTTCTGCCAATTCACGGATAAAATTCTCTCCATCAAACTTCTCTAATTTCACAAAGTTAGAAGTCATCTCTTTTAGTGAAGCAGCCATTGAATAAGATGATTTGTTCCTTAAAATTGTATAAATATTTTGATTTTGGGGTTGCTGCAAAACTAAGAATGAGTGAAGATGAAAATAGAGAAATAAATTTCCTCAAAAATAGAGAAATAAATTTCCTCAATAAAATTCCAAAGCATATGTTTCCACACTAAACTTAAGGAACAATTCGCCCCATCAATCTTTGTATGTTGGATGCAAAAGGATTTATAAGTGAATTTTCTGCATGATACTTTGAAATCCTTAA